CTCAATTATTTAAAAAAAAAAACCTTAAATTGTTTTGTATTTACTCATTTTTTTTACTTCACAAATATTGATTCAAATTTTTTATTTAAATTAAGAGTAGTAATATGATGTAGCTGCTTTATGTCCATGGTGTTATTGACATTATGAGATTAGAGATGACGCTATTCTGTGCATCGATTGAGATGTCTCACCAAAATGAAGCGTGCCTTTGCAAGTTGAGACATTGCAAATCACCAATTCAATTTACAGAACTTTTTTTTTTTTCAAATTTTGTTTTGTTCTAGTAGTTAGTGTTTCTTGTAACCAGTATTTGGTGAAAAATGAACACAAAATAAAACAAAAGAGGTCATTTTCTCGAGCATACTGTGAAATCCAAGCCATGAAGCCTCCCCCAGAAAGAGGCCAAAGCTGGAGGCACTATCGACCTTTATACGGAAAGCAACATTTTCGATAGTGACATTAATTGTGATAATATAAATATGTGTTTTGCATTAATTAGCTCACATCTACATTATCAGAAAAACAAACTACTCAATGTATTAAATAAATTAAACGCAGCCCAACGTAAATTCTCACCACTTGTAACAACCTAGCTCCAAGAAAACAATTGAATATATATATATATATATATATATATATGATAGAAATTAGTACAGGAAACATTACAATTAATAACGTGGAAAACTTTTCAATTCAATGATGAAAATCACGGGTTGTCAGAGGTATTTGGATGTAAATCAAAATATAGTTTTAAAAGTGATTTTATAATATACGAAGTAAGTATGTGAGAAGAATTTTATCTCAACTTATATAAAAATATTTTTAAAAAGTATTTTTGGAAAAAACTAAACGCGCCCTAGCTCTATAAAAATCAGCTCCTTTATAATTAAAATAGGGTACAAAAAAATCTCAACTAATGTGCAATAGAAAATGAAGAAATTAAACTAAAAATACCAAAAAAGAGAGAGTGAAATATGAACTAAATAACTCTCACATTGGGGAACGAATTGGCAATCCAATCATTAAAAATGACGTATTGGATTTTACAAACCTATTAACAAAATTTAAACCCAATTCAAAGATTATTGAATGCATATATGCTATTTTATCAAAACTATCCCGGGAAGATTCAAAAATTCTGTCTAGTTTTTCATAAAGTGATGAATCAGTGTTCAAATCATTGCAAGGAAAGACGCTCATATCTAATACTCCTCTGGTCCTTATTATAAGACCCAATTTGACTTTTTATTTGGTCCTAATTATAAGACCCAATCCATTTTCTCTCTTATATTTATGTATTTTTTTCAAGATAATCCTTCTAATAATGATAGTTTTAGCTAATATACTTAATTAGTAAGGATATTTTAGGAATAACAACACTTATTTATTATAAATAACTAACTTAACTTACTTCCTTAATCTCCTCAAATAAGTCAATTGGGTCTTATAATTAGGACCGGAGGAGTACTTGACAGCATCTTAAATAGGATTACTTCTAATAGAAAAATATCTATACATGGAAAAAGAAAAGAAAAGAATTTTCCCCCTTAAATTTTGGTGTGTATTCCGCACAAATCACATATGTACAGCTCCTCCTCCTCCTCTTGGGTTGTCCTGCCTTTCCAAATTTATTTGTTTTACTCACATTTGCTGGTACGTAGTTTAGATTTTTCAATCTTGGCTTCAGATTTGTGGTTCAAACTAGCTGAGGAGGAGAAACCAATGATTTGCATGAAGATGAAATCACTTGTATCTCTCTGTGTTTTTATTATATTGGGCACCAGCTTTAATTTGCTATAACATGCATGTCTGTACCGTGTTTGTGGGTGGCGTCCATGTGAAATGATGAAGATCATATGTGTGTGTGTGTGTGTGTGTGTGTGTGGCAGAAGAACTATGGCGTGAAGTTCGAAGAACTGGATGAAGAAGATGCAAGGGGGAAGGCGAAGTTATCTCAGTTCCTTCATACTCCATCTACTTACTATTATTAAATTAATTAAAAAAATAAATTGAAATTTTAAACTTAAAAGCGGAGAGACAGCATTAATTTTGATAAAAAATGAGTTTCATTTTATATTTAAAAAAACTTTATCTTGTGACAATTTACATCTCACTTAATTGGTTTTTTAGGGTCAGGATCCAATAAAATAAATAACTCCAAGACTCGATAAAAAATTAAGAAAAACTATAAGAATTAATTTTCTCAATTTTGTTTAGTTGACCATCTTATCTACGTTACTATTATTCTAGATTGTAGTACACATTTTCGATGGCAGTACAGTCGTAATCGGGAAAATTGACCACTGACAATGACTTATTATTCTACTTATTTCATGGGTAGTACATATTTTCAAACTGCTGACACATGATATTTGGCCAAAAAAATGAATAATAATAAAAAAAAACTACCGTCGAACGGTAAATACTGGTAAACAAATAAAACGCTTAGCTTTAAAAATTTACGAGCAAGTTAATTCAAGCACGATCTTTTAAGTTAAAAACAACCTGCAATTTTTGGTTAGGACTTTAAATTGACTAAATAAGAGATATTTGGTAATAGGATATTAAAATAATTAATTGAAATAGAAGAAGTTGAAGAAAAATGGCTGTCCATTTGTGGGGGCACAAGGGTTTTTGAATGGGACACGGTCCCATTATGACATGTAATTGAACACACATGCGTGAAGATAATATGTCAGTTCAGACTTCAAATAATTGAACCAAAATGTGGCAACACAATAAAATATAAATAAAAGAACGTGTTTCCCTTTTGTGCAATTTCGCGAACACACTGTTTTATCTCTGTTCATTGCAAAACACAACTTCGTCTGTTTGTTTTTTTTACCTTATTTGTCGCATGCATGAGGTTAAAGCCATGTCAATCCATTTCTCAAAAAAAGCCACTCATCGTATTCAACATAGTTATGATATGCATCCCCCCAATTATACATTAGTTATCATTCAATCCTTACCCCCTTTGGTAGGTAATTATAATTTTAATTACCATTTAATTACCAAAAGAATCAATGAATTGAATCTTAATTTCTAAAGCATGTTTGAAATAACTTATAAATATATTTTCAATTATGATTTATGGAATATAAGGTAAGTATGTGAGAAAAATTTTGTCTCGACTTACGTGAAATAAGCTTATAAGCAATTCATTGATTCTTTTGGTAATTAAAATTATAATTTTGTCTCGATTTACGTGAAAGAGGCTTATAAGCAATTTTAATCGTGATGCCAAACAAAACTATCATATGCTTGAATCATAAACCCTATTATTTATTACCAAATATCAGTGTCACACTAGCGACACGTCATTGCCACGTCAATGGCGTGTTATTAGTAACAACCTATATTCAGGTTGGTCATAAATTCTACGAAGTGAAAATTATGTTTTACATTATGATATTTGAAAAACATCATTTAAATTCAAAGAATAGCCATGGATTTAAAATATATATATATATATATATATATAAAAGAAGGTAAATATCTTTATGAGTGGCAATCAAATTACTAATACTTTCAATGAGTTAATCATTTGCTTTGAAAATCACATGGCGAAAAAACAACATGAAGCAGCTTGAGAGAGTGAAGTCCATGTGCGTAAACATATAGGGCAATGATTTTAAAAACTCCAAACCACTAATTATTGAAGTATTAGTTTGTGGATATTAATTGCGGGAACACCATGGAAAGTACAAAAACAGGCCACTTACAAAAATGGGGAGGCTGATTTTTCTGAGGAGACATGCTCAGAGAAAATAATGGCGCAAAGAAAAAGAAACTCCTGAGTCAGAAATGACAATGATTGAGATTATTATGTGTGGCTAATAAGGAAGAAAGTGACTTTGATTAACATTATGAGACCGGAGATTTCGGCGTTCTTAGTACTAATTGAGAATGCGACCATAATTAAGCCGCCTTTGCAAGTTGAGATGAGGCTGGAGACTCAGCAGATAACTGATTTATTAATTTAATTCATTTATTTGTTGGTTTAGTTTTGTTTTGTTGTTATAAGAAGAGAAAGAAACGAAAAAGAAGTCATGATCAGAGGAGCATAAACGATGAAGGGGCTAGAGGCGCATATGAGCTTACCCTGCAACAGGACAAATGTGGAGGCACCATCTCCCTTTATGGGGAAAGGGGCATCTGAAAACGATCACTGTTGCATTGACAGCCACGTGTCCTCCCCTGATTGCAATGTCTACTTTGTTTGAACTAACCTTGATTATATAGATTCAAAAACTGATCTGCACACCTTAAAACAATAACTACAAGTCGCAAAAATGAAATCCAAATACACACATATAGGTGCGCGTGTTCATTTACATCTTATCCCGATCATTTCATCCCTGTTCTGAACATACTGAGATAGAAAGAAGTCAGGCCGAAAAAATTACGAGACAGGACATAAGTGAGATGAGACCAAAGAAAAGAAAAAGGAATGGGACAAGACGGGATGGAGACGGGATTGTCCTGATCTCGTTTTGTCTCGTTCTCACCCCTAATTGTGCCTACACCCACCTACCTAACACCTTTTATTTCAAGCTGTGTTTTTTTCTTTTGGGGGGGGGGGGCTAGGAAAGTCCGTATCCATATAGCGGGCCGCTGCTCCATTTTTGTGCAAGCGGCCCACAACTGACATCCCAATATGGCCTGATATAGTGACTCCGTCTTTGACTAGTGATCATTCAAATGAAAGTCTCTGTTTGTTACCAACAAACTGTTAGCTGATAATAAGAATACAAGTTTGAATCTTGAGAAACGTACTTATTAGAAGAAACAAAAATCTTGTCTTCTAATTCACCAAAAAAAAAAAATCTTGTCTTCTAAGCCTCGAAAGAAAAACCTTTAATCAAGATTAAAGAAAGTCTCTATTTTTTTAGTCATATACCCCCCAAAGATAAGTGACATTGGCATAAGTTATCAAGACGAATTGTCACCTGCGCGCATATTAGTATTAATTAAAATGAGACAAAAATACGACATCTAGTAAGCTTAAATAATAATAATAATAATAATATCAATAATTAAAAAAATCATAAATGAAAATATTAGACAGCATGTGGGACGAGATTTTTATCCACAGAGTCTCGGATGGGTTGGAAGGATAGTTGGAAGTCGTCGCAAAGAGCATGAGGATCAGGAATAACACTTGGATCCACTGCCACAGAAAGGGTCATCCTGTTATAATAGCTTTGGAAATGGACGGTTAGTGCCTGCAACTCCAACACAAAACACAGATATTTGAAGGATTCAGTTACATTCAAAGCTGTAAATAAAATCGAAAGAGAAGGATACAGACATGAGGGTGTCCATATGTGGAAGGAGCAATGTATGCCAAAGGATGACCAAAGCAGCTAATTTCTTCCAGGGGACCGACCACGTTAGAGAATGCCATGGTCGTGTTTGAGAAAACTCTTCTTGTTATAGCTGAAGCCACCTGTCTCCTCCAACAATATATCAAAGTGAAATTACATAGCTTTCTTAAGTGGAGATCAAGTTAACTTGTCCAGTAGGTTTTGAGTAGTGTACATACACACCTTGATTCCCAGAAAGTTGAGTACCAGTTTAGCACAGTGAAAAGTGCAGAAAGATTCTAGAGAGTGCTTCTTGCGGTCGATGATGGCTTTGGCTTGACGAACATACTGTAAGGGATCATCTTGAGAAAGAATGGCAAAAGGGACAACAACGAACCCTAGACGATTACCCCATCCCCATCTCGCCTTTGATTTCTCTCCCATCATATCTGCCAGCTCCTGTAACTTTTGTAATACTATTCAGAATAATCTTCTTGTATCCAATATAATCGCACCTTTTTTGTGTCTCATCTCAGGGATCAGTATAAGAAATTAAAAGGAGGAGCAGGGGAATAAGGAATGATCACCTGGATTCCTGCCGTGGGTCTAACGTTGACCATAATTGTTGCCCTAAGTCGAATGTTGCCCAGCATATGATTATGATTTGGTCTTTGTCTTCCATCTGCTTCCACAGCTCCTGTTCCATCATTTTGGTGCATACGTTCAAGTTTAACTCCCTGATTCGGAACTACCCCCACCCACCCACACACACGCAAACAAAAACAGGAAATTGCATACATATATATCTAGTTCATAATTACACAATTGAGGAGCTCACCGTATGTTCGGTTTAAGTAACGAGTCAGAGCAGCTTGTGTTACTCCCAGTAAAACGTCATTGATGGTCTAAATATATCCTCCATTATTTAACAAAATAGAAAAGTAGTCAAACACAAAAGACCGGTTCGGCTTGAGCATTTATACGGGGAGAAATAGAAGATACCATTTTCATGGCATTCTTGACGACCTTGACGTCATCCATACTGAGGTGACGGTGGACGAAACGCATCGTATCAGGCTGCTCTGTCCCAGGGGCAGATTTCAGAGGAGTATCTGAATCTCTGAGGAACAAGACGGTCAGAGCAAACATCACCAAGTCGGCCAGAGTGTTCCAAAGCAACGTCACAGTACCCCAAACGGCCGACAAGAACCGCCTTAAGAACCGGCCGCCGGAAAGACGGTGGTCCGAGGTGGCTTTCTTCATGACAGGCACAGTTGGTAGGGAATGTGGGTCGGAGGTTTTGCGAGATGCAGCGAGAAGAAGCGACATGAGAGAGGCACCATCTCCCAAGGAATGGTGGATTCGCATGACGCAGATAGCTTCTGCTTCGGAGGTTTTGAGGTTGAGGAGGTGGACTTCCCACAGAGGCTTCGACATGTCTAATGGAGTTTTTGTGACGTTAGAAACGTAGTCTTCGAGGAATCGGTCGGGATCGGGAAAGTCAAGATGGGGATCTATTGGTGGAACTATGACGTGGTCCTCTATGTTTACTGTGGTTGGATTCCATCTCCATTTCCTACCATCCTTTACCTGTCCCATCAAACAGGTCAACACAGAATATCTGAAACCTCGTAATTACAGTTAAAATTTCATTGCCCAGACCATGGTTTTTTATAGGACAAACTTGAAATTTGAAAATCTCAGCGTTACTGTCAAGTGCAGCCGAGAAGGCTCGTTTCTACAGGATTAAACTAACAATTAAAAAACAAAGTCCCATGTGTGATCTCTGTTTCCTTTTACAGTTTTACCGGTCCAATTTTCAAAGCTAAAATAAAGGCACGCGAAGTTAATGAATATAATATAACTTCAAAAAGATAATTAGATGAAAGTATAGAACCAGCTAATCGAAGATCAGTAACAAGGCGACAATTTACTATTTTGTTAATAAAATAATAGCAAGCATCTGCGTGGGATTATGCATGAGATTATCTCCATTCCAAGTCCATATTTTCTCATCATCAAGTCTGAAAGAGAAAGCCAAGTTTGGTTTGTGGCATAGACGGCGACAACGACAAAACGCAATATATATATATAGAGAGAGAGAGAGAGAGAGGGAGAGAGAGTTTAGACTTGTAACAATTGTATAACTGTTGAATAAAGCAACTCCATTTTCAATCAAGGAAGGCACTAAAATAACGTTTCTTCTCTAATACATCATCGTATTGTTTTTGGCGAAGCAGAGAGTCAAACAAAAAAAAAAAAAAAAAAAAAACGGAAAACACACAGAGAATGAATGAGAAAATAAACTGGGGTGTGTGTACTGTACCAGATTGCTGGAGAACCTGGGATGGTTGAGTAGAGTATTGATTAAGCCTTGTTTGACGACTTCAGGATCGATTCTTGTCTTCACCCCCATGACTGCAATAACGTAATAGTCGAAGCCAGGCGCGTGGAACATCCTCGATCCTGGACTCACTACCTCGCCCTCTTTCGTCCTGCCCATCGTCTTCCTCCCTTCTGCTTTCTCAATTACTCCTCTGCAACACTTTCTGTCTTTTCTTTAGCCTCAGGACTCGCTCAGATGTCGAAATAACAGTGTTAGCTTTTAACGGCACGGGGCTCATGGATGACTGCCACAGTACTCCCCGATGGATGGATGTTAATTGGATAAATATTGTGCAGATACTGAAACACTGAAATATTGATTTGAGGTTGATTATATCTCCGACTCTGACTAGTATTGCTTCTGAGTTTGATTTCTGTGCGCTTAAAGTTACCAACTTTTCTTGTTTTATCCGTCAAGTGGGAACGGGGAGGCGACCAAATTTTCAGGTTAGGTAGGAATCCACGGGGACTGATCTGCCTTTCTTTTAAGGGTACTACCAGAGCTGGAATATTCTAACACAACTCGGGTTTTAAGGAGTAATTTTATATAATGCTGAGTTCATCATTTGAAATGGTCTGTGTATGATCTGTAATATTTACCCTATCAGCGTTAATTAGTTCAAAGAACGGAAAAACTACTCAGGTCAAAAAAGGAGGCAGATCAAAGAAACAAGACAAGTAATGAGTCACTCCACTGATACGAGCTAGTTTAGTTGCGGACGCACTTGAGTTTACACACACTCACACGCCCCTGACCGGATGATTCAGATTAGGCGAACAAAAACAGTCCACATCCAAATGCCCATTGCTTCATTAATTCAAGGTTAAATGATAAATAAAGTCTAACATTCTTTTGGTTTAATTTGTCTTGTGCATAGACAAGCTAACTAACACCTAGCTAAATAATATTGGTTAGAGATTAGTGGGAGCACGAAAACTTTCTGGGACACGGAAGTAGCTTACTATGATTACAAATTGATACGTTGAAGTTATTCTTTAAATAAATAAGTAGTGAGCAAGTGTCACCTGGGGGTGTAGCTCATATGGTAGAGCGCTCGCTTCGCATGCGAGAGGCACGGGGTTCGATTCCCCGCACCTCCAATTTTTTCCCCCAATATCTTAGGTACTGAGGGCTTTTTGTTTTTTCCCCAAAAAGATGCCGTTAGTTTGTTTAGATTGGGCCAAATAAAGGGGCCTTCCTTTTATGTTATTAAATGGGCTTTTCCTGCTTTACTCGTTGATAGGGCCTCTGCTTTTGTGTTTACGGGCCCAATGCTCCTCTTGAGCATATGGATGAAATAAAATTGTGAGAATGCTTTTAATTATGTTGGTATTTCTTTGGTTTTAAATATAAGACTTTTTTTATAATGTAACCAGATGAGTATTTTTTTTTTGACAGAATTGAATTATGTTGGTATATTATTACCCTGACATTATATTTTTTTGACCGAATTGAATAAATATATATTTTAGGCCAATGTAAGCTAAGACTTCATTATTACCCTCACATTATATTTCATAAACAAGTTTGAGTTGTCGTGGCTCATTTGTTTATTTGTTTGCTTTCGAAGATCAAATCCCATATTTGTTATTTTCTGTTTCCTTGCTTCCACACTGGATCCCTTCAACCAGCATTTATTTTTTCAGCTCAAAAAAAAAAAACCAGTAATTTATTTGTGTGTTGGCCCATAAAAGGGGTGCCACGGACTGGCAAAAACCCAAAAAAGGAGTACCACGGAAACTGTTATTTTTATGTGGGCCCTTGTACAGGTCAATCGTGCGGTCGTGACATCCTCACATTCCATGCTAATTGTAAACATGGAGTGCCGGCAGCAAAAGTCATCCAGGTTGATTTTGAATGACTGAGATTAAATTTAAATTTCTTATACATTTTAATTAATTTTTGTTTTAATAGATATAAAATTTAAAATAAAAAATAATTGTATAGTTAACACATTTTTCAAAATTAAATTTATCACTAAAAAAACTACATATAAAAATTTTGAGTCTCAACTATTCATATCATATTTTAAAAGAAAAATTATAATAATATCACATTCAAGATAATTAAATATAAAAAAGTCTCTTAAAATTATTAAATTAATTTAAAGTCTAAAAAGATCTCATTGCAAGAGATTCTACTTGTTTAATTACTAAACTGTCATTATCTTTTTTTAACATGTATTAGTAATAGTTAACAACTTAAGGTGTAATAATTAATAATTATCGTGACATGTATTAATAACACATTTTCTCAGCGTATCACAAAAATGTAATGTATGAGTTATCAATACATGTTGTGATAATTGTTAATCACAATTAACAACTATCACGATAGATATTAATAACACATTTGCTCAGTATCACATAATGTATGAGTTACCAATACTTGCTGTAATAATTGTTAATTGTTACATTTTAAATTGTTAACGACGGTTCTTTCAGTTGTCAATGCATACTTAAAAAAAAGAACAAAAAATTAGTAATTAAATAAGTAAAATCTCTTTTAATAAGGTCTTTTGAAACTTCAGATTAATCTAATTCTTTTAGGCAATATTTTTGTATTTAATTATCTTGAATACGATTTGATTGTTATTTTTCCTATTTTAAATAATCTAACTACGTTGCCGATGAGCACGTAGCCGCTGAGGGGGTTGTTGGGTTCCTTTTTCTTTTGCCCTGCCTCTGACAAGTTATTTATCTGTTTAATGTTTGTACCGCTTCCTTCCTTCCTTCCTTCCTTCCACCTCACTTCTCTCATTCTGATTCCTCGACCCATCACACGCCCATGGCTCCAGCGGCCACACCTACTATTTCGTCGTCCGAACCTCCGAAGCTTCACGCCTCTGACATCGGAAGCATCAAAGCCTTTGCCGAATCTAATGGAGACTCCCCCATCCCTTCCTCCTACTATTCTATCGTTGAAGCCCGAGACGACGTCGCAGACGACCTTGCTTCCTCCTTCCCCGTCATCGATTTCTCTCTCCTTACTTCCGACGACCCTCAGCTCCACGCCCACGCCGTCACTCAACTCGGCAACGCCTGCGCCGAATGGGGTTTTTTCATGGTAAAATTCCTATCTGTCCCTGCTTTTGGTTTTCAGTTCTGTTTTAGGTTAACGATGTGTGAATTGTGGCAGCTCACAAATCATGGGATCTCGGAGAATCTGATGGAGGAAGTGATGAGTAAATCTCACGAATTCCATAATTTGCCGACAGAGGAAAAGAAGGAATTTGCGGACAAGGGTCCCTTGGCACCCATCCGACATGGCACCAGTTTCTACCCTGAAGCAGAATTGTTTCATTACTGGAGGGATTACCTGAAGGTCATCACACTCCCAGAATTCAATTTCCCCCACAAACCTCCTGGTTTCAAGTAAGTTCGTCAACTCTGTTTTCTCAGATTCTTGAATCATCCTTTGTGTAATCCCCTCTGTCACCATTTGTACAGGGAGGTGGCCTATGATTATAGCCGGAAAATCAGGGCGGTGGCGAGAACTTTGCTTAAAGGGATATCGGAGAGCCTGGGATTAGAACCCATGGCCATTGTGGAGTCCACTGGTTTTGATTCTGGTTTACAGATTTTCGCCGTCAACCTGTACCCTCCTTGCCCTCAGCCAGACCTGGCCTTGGGCATGCCTCCTCACACCGATCACGGCCTGCTGACCCTGCTCTACCAGAACGGAATCGGAGGCCTGCAGGTCAAGCACGACGGCAAGTGGGTCAACGTCAATCCTCTTCCCAACTGCCTCATCGTCAACACTGCAGATCAACTCGAGGTAACTAGGACACTTCAATTCCTAAATACCTACATTCACGTACAAGCCATTCTCTTTGTTCAAGGTTAAACATTGATCGTTAATTAACTAGGCAGTGAGCAACGGGAGGTATAAGAGCATCTGGCATCGGGCCGTACTGAACAACAAAGACACAAGGTTAAGCATAGTGCTGGCGAACGGACCAGAGCTGGAGAAGGAGATAGCACCGGCGGCGGAGCTGGTGGAGAGAGAGGAGGCAACAATGTACAAGAAGATGAAGTACAGGGACTACTTCTCCAAGGTTCAGCAGCTGACGGGATTAGTGAACACAAGTAGATTGGATAAGGTTGGGATTAATCCTCAAAACTGATACTACCATAGCACCAATCGTATGGGATTGTGGTGTGTAAATGTGAGTTATGTTTGTGAGCGGAGGCTTGATTGTTGTATCTGTAGCCTGCGGCTACTGGTTGAAGTAGTCAATAATTAGGAATGTAGGATGTCAAATCCCCATCCCCGCAATAAAGAGTTATAGCACGTTGAGCAAACCCTTCTTTTTATTTTTCTTTAGATTTCACCTTTTATATATATATATAAAATATGCAATTCACATAATCTACTATTTATATAGAAAATCAGCAGACAAAGGCACATGGGCACTGCGAGCTCAGATCTGCATATTTGGGAGCATCCTTCTCCTTTGCGTGAATCTATAGAGTTCATCACAAGGGCCATGGTAGTAATAATCCTTCATTATACGCATTTCAACGGTCTCATTCATTCTCTCTCTTTTTTTAAATAATAATCCTTCATTATAGGCATTTCCTTTGTAAATGATCCCATAATTTCTCACATTGAACGGGAATGCGTTGTTTCGAGTAAAGCTCCAAAACTTTTCTGAGCATGGTTCCAATATCTTGGGCTTTGGGCCATAACATTTACGAATCTTGAAGGAGACATGGACACATTTTTTAAGTGTCCTGGGCTTTAACAAGATGGGCTTCTATGGCCCAAAATAATGTTCCTCCGTTGTGGGTATCCCTATCAGCTCAATAGATTCAGAAATACTTACAAGGCGGCTCCCACGAGCTTTTTACGTAGTAGCATCTTTATTCTCCCGCCTCCTACTTTACTGTTTGCTATTTTTCATATTTGATCATTGATTCATATCAGCGCCCCTTCGTTTATTTGTATTGTGTTGTTTTTTCATAATTTTAATGCAATATAATATCCGAAAAGGAAACAGAAAAACAACGAAGCCTGTCACCCTTTTTTGGGTCGAAAAAGTATTCGTCCACATGCAATTGTTGGTTTCCTTCAAAATTTTAAAAAATTGGATTCAATCGAATCAATCCATCGTTATCACATACATGGCCGTAACCAGATTAGGAGAAACATCCCATTTGAACTAGGGTCAAAATTAAATTTGGAGTCGTCCATAAAAAATGAATATACGAAGTAATTGCAAGAAAAATTCAAAGAACAGTGTGTTTAATAAAATGTGTAATAGAAAGTACTACCTCCAGTCCTAATTATAAGAACTAATTGACTAATTTAAAGAGATTAAAAAAAATTTGAGTTAGTTATTTGTAATAAATAGATGTTGTATTTCTTAAAATATCTTTACTAATCAAGTTTATTGGCTAGAACTACTATTATTAGAAGAATTATCTTAGGAAAAAATATATAAATATGAGAGACAAAATAGATTGGAATCTTATAATTATGACCAAAATAAAAGTCAAATGAGGTTTTATATTAAAGACCGGAGGTAGTATTAATAAAAAACAGGAGAGCCGGAAAAATAAAAACAAAAAACACCGTTAGCTTTGCTATTTGGGGGGGGGGGACACTGTTAGCATTATTTCAATAGATTTCTTCACCACAAAAGTACGAGAAAATTGCTTATATTTCCACAGAAATTTATAAGTAAAACGTGATTTTTTTATAAGAACAACTCAATCGGATTTTATACGTGATAAATATTTTCTTTTATCTATAAATAAAATTTCTAAGAGATCTGCAATATATATCTCGCCAAATAATTTCGTCAAGACCACGACAAGTTCTAGATGACAGTATCCATCGTGTTTCTATTTTTCGCCAACGTGCTCTCTTTGTCTTCATAGAAAGTTGCTTATCCTCATTGAGTTCTTCTTCTTCCCTCACCTCTGGCCTTTCATTAATTGTTTATAAATATATCCCTTGCCTTCACTCCCACTCATTCATTCAATCATCGCTCGCTCTGATTTCACATATCTTATCCCCATGGCTCCACCCCCTACAGCCTCCATTTCCTTGTCTGGACCTCCCAAGCTTCACGCCTCCGAAATCGGCAGCATCAAAGCCTTCGCCGAGTCCAATCGTGGCTCCGCCATCCCTTCCTCCTACTATTCGATCGGTGAACCCCTAGACGACGTCGCAGACCACCTCGCTTCCTCCATCCCCGTCATCGATTTCTCTCTTCTCACGTCCGCTGACCCTCAGCTCCATGCCAACGCTGTCTCCCGACTCGGCAATGCCTGCTCTGAGTGGGGCTTTTTCATGGTAAACTTGCAATCCATCTCTGCTTTCTGACCTGCAATCGTTTTCTGTTTGAGGTTAACGATGTGTGGGTATCGTGGCAGCTCACGAACCATGGGATCACGGAGAAGCTGATGGAGGAGGTGATGAGCAAGGCGCACGAATTCCATAACTTGCCGGTAGAGGAAAAGAAGGAATTTGGCGACAAGGGTCCCTTGGCACCCATCCGACACGGCACCAGCTTCCACCCTCAAGCAGAGAAGGTTCATTACTGGAGAGATTACCTCAAGGTGATCACACTCCCAGAATTCAATTTCCCTCACAAACCTCCTGGTTTTAAGTGAGTTCATCAACTCTCTGTTTCCTCTGATTATTGGATTGGCCTTTGTATATATAATCCACTCTATGGTACTGTCTGGACAGGGAGGTGGCTTATGATTATAGCAGGAAAATCAGGGCGGTGGCGAGGACTTTGCTGCAAGGGATATCGGAGAGCCTGGGATTAGAACCCACGGCCATAGTGGAGTCCACTGGTTTTGATTCTGGTTTACAGATATTCGCCGTCAACCTGTACCCTCCTTGCCCTCAGCCAGAGCTTGCCCTGGGTATGCCTCCTCACTCCGATCACGGCCTCCTCACCCTGCTCTACCAGAATGGAATCGGAGGTCTTCAGGTCAAGCACGATGGCCAGTGGGTCAACGTTGATCCTCTTCCCAACTGTCTCATCGTCAACACTGGAGATCAACTTGAGGTCACTCCCACTCCTCATCTCCTAAATATCTACACACACGACGCACACTTTTCTGCATGTGTGTGTATATATTCAGTTGATATATGCGTTAAACATTGATTCTTAATGGATTGATTAGGCGGTGAGCAACGGGAAGTATAAGAGCATCTTGCACCGGGCAGTATTGAACAACGAAGACACAAGGATAAGTCTAGTGCTGGTGAACGGACCAGAGCTGGAGAAGGAAATAGGGCCGGCGCCGGAGCTGCTGGAGAAAGAGGAGCCATTGTACAAGAACATAAAGTACAAGGACTACTTTCAGGTTCAGCAGCAGAGGAGGTTCGCCGACAAAAGTGGATTGGATGAAATTCGGGTCAATCCTGCAAACTGATATATGCCAATATGTCGTCATCACTAATAATTGATCGTTCGTATTTATATGCGTCGAGTGTCGCAAACAAATCTGCCAGTGTGTTCGGTGGAGATGTTTGTAGAGTTTGTATGATGGAGATGTTCAATTACTCAATAATGCGGGATTTCAAATCCACATCCTGGCTGGCACATCGTGATAAAATATTAAAAAAATTGGAGGAATTTATTTTTTTTTAAAAAAAATCATGCAACTAATATATCCATTTCATCTAATTTGAAATAAAAAATGGGTAATATAGTGCTACCTTTGGTTTCTAATGAAAAAGCTAGTTTGAGATTTAATTTAGTTTTAAATATTTATTTTGTCTCTTATATTTTTTTTTTTAAGATAATTTTTGTAGTTGTTGCACATGTTAAAATTTCATCAATTGGTAGTTCTAACTAATACGTATGATTAACAAGAGTATTTTAGAAAAGATAACACATACTAATTATAAGAGCTAGTTGACTAATTTGAGGAGATTAAGAAAAGAAGATAAGTTAGTTATTTGTCATAAATAGGTGTTGTCTTTTCTAAAATATCCTTGCTAATCAAGTGTATTGGCTAGAACTACCATTATTAGAAAGACTATCTTTAAAAAAATACATAAATATTAGAGACAAGATGGATTGAGGTCTTATATTTAGTACCAAAATAAAAGTCAAATGAGGTTTTATATTAAGGACTAGAGATAGTATTTATTATAAATAACTAAATTAATTAATTTCTTTAATTAACTCAAATTAGTCAACTAACTCTTATATTAATCACCGGAGCTAGTAATAAGGTGACTTGTGATGACCTATATCATGCACGCGAACTGCTTCACTTGACTGTAGCTCATCGAGAGAGTCCAAAACGTTCCTTTTGACGTTAGAGATCACGACGCAAAATGAGAGGATATCCAATATCAACATGCATGAAGGCAACCTAAGATATATGGTTCCAGAGCTGACAAAGTGTATGTGACAGAACGAATATGATGTTTTGAATAAAACTACTGATCAGTGTTATTCCATCTTCTGAAATGCCAATTTTGGGTTGAAGGGGGTAATCATCTTGTTCTAAGAGTGACTGTGTGGAAGGGATGATAATAAACCTATCAAGAAACTTGCAGGAAACACTGATATTCCATTTCTTAATTTTGGGACGGCTCAATTGGATTCACTTTGGGAAAACTTAATTTGATTAAAGAGACTGGGGTGAACTATCGCATTCATATAGAGTAAGTTTTATGGCTGCAATTAGAATTAAGCTTGCAGAGGACATAATTGTGTACATAGTTGGCGAGCCCTTCCGTAAAAATAGGTGACTATGTATATATATTTATATATATATGAGCTGGTTTCCTCTAGCTAGGATTATTTGATGATCGCCCTGCTATGTTTATGATTGAGCTTTAATTTTATTCCTCTGGTTGAAATTATGCGTATTAACCCTTGGAGGTAATTTTATTAATAATCTTGGTCAATCACCAATGTGAGCAACGGGAAAGTATAAGCAATAATTGTTGCTTTAAGCGGATCGGATCTGAACAAGCTAAGTTAGAGCCGGACCGCAGGTTGGGTTGGTTTTGCAGCGGTTTAGGGGAATAACACAGTTAGAAGATATTCCTCCGATCCTTAATATAAGACCCATTTAACTAATTTGATTAGATTAAGGAAGTTAGGTAAGTTAGTTAATTATAAGAAAAGTGACACATTTTTCCTAAAACGCCATAATCATCTTTTTTAATACCCGCTCTTCCTCTTCTACTTGATTGTGGTTGAAGGAGCATCTATAGGGGTAATTTAGAGAAAATTGATAAATATGATAAATGAGTCTTATATTTAGGACCAAAACTAACTCAAGAATTAGGTCCTATATTAAGGACCGGAAGAGTATGTAAGTACTTTAGGAGACCCAGGAACATTTTAGATTTAAAGAAAGGGAAAGAATTCTAAACAAAAAGAACGAAGCACTTCCTAAATAAATAGATGACATGATATATAAAAGTTTGACACTAAGCATAGCAACTTTTCATATAAAGGGAAAATATTGAGTAAGTGTTGACTAGATACTTTTACAGCCATCGATAATATCAGAATGTCGATTACATATTAATATTTAATATTATTGTGAATGCAGGACTTTATGTTTATTGTTTATGACAATTTTATTTATTGATGAATGAATTTATAAAGTAGAGACCAATTTTACATAAACAACATATGTAAAATGAAAAGATCAAACAGATACATTTTCTGGTAAATAAAAAAAACAGATAAATTTTAAATAGTATATAAGCAATGAATCCACCTCATCATGGGTTTGATCCCTAGCAGTGTGTATTAAAAAGATCCCGTGGCCAACACTAAAATCTCTTCGGAAAGTGTACAATATGAGGGAATTAATTACTACAGACAGTGGATATCCTAGACTCAAGCAGGGAAAAAAAAAATTTCACGTGAAGAAAGTAATGCTTCCAGTAAGTATATATGTTGCTTACTTATTGAACCGTGAAAATATATTCTAAAACGGAGATAGAATAGTTAAAAGAAAGAGCTTTTCATGATTTTAATGCTCTCCATGCATTGTTTTAATAATGAAATCATGTATTTGCCAAATTACAGTTATCATTTACTATCTTAACATTCATTATTGTATTAATTAAAAGCTATTCTGTTGTCATTGAAATTTCTTTAATGATTATGTTTCTTATTTGGAATGCGGGCTAACTAATACATGGAGAAGACTTAATTTGAAATAAAAATGGGCAACAGTAATTAAAAATATAGTGACTTGTGATGACCTGTATCATGCAAGCAAATTGAATGGGTTTTCATATATTATATCAAGGGCTAATTGGAACCTGCTTTACTATTGATTTTAGCTCAGGAGAGTCCAAAACGTTCCTTTTGACATTAGAAATCAATCACGACGCAAAATCAGAGGACGTCCAATATATATGCATGAAGGCGCAAACTAAGATATACGTACAGTTACAAAGCTAATACAATGATCCATAACAAGTGTGACAAAATGAACGTGATAATGCAGATGGGCGTTATATGTTGATGAGTGATAATGTCCTTTAAGTTTTTTCAAATCTCATTTCTTTTTTATTTTTCAAAACAATCATTTTAATGGATATAGTAAAATGAAATAAAGGAAAATTCATTAACTATTATTTTTGGGGCCTTCACGGCTTTGGATTCAGCTTGGGAAAAACTTTTGTTAAAAAGACTTAGGTGAACTAATATCCCGTTAGTGTATTTTTGTTGGCGGATTTGATGATGGCTACAATATGGATAGAGCTTACACAGGACATGGTTGGTGTCATAGTTGCAGTGTTTTTGCTTTTGGTTTCTTCAGTGTTTTGTATTCATGACTTTTACTTTGATTTTATTTACTACGTGGGGTCGCTGAACATTAATCGTAATTAAATACCGAATATATATGATAAATATTTGACCTTGTAGCTATTGACAATAATCATAAAATAAAGCTTTGCGATGGGAATAAAATAATTAGAAACCGATGCACAGCACATGCAAGTCTAATAAGATGGTGCTGATCAAGCATCCCTTACCTGCACTTAACTCCACCCCTTCATTCAATATATCATCATCACTCGCTCTGATTTCACAATCTTACTATCTCATCCCCATGGCTCCACCCCCTACGGCTTCCATTTCCTCGTCGGAACCTCCCAACCTTCACGCCTCCGACATCGGCAGCATCAAATCCTTCGCCGAATCCAATGGTGTCTCCCCCATCCGTTTCTCCTATTACTCTATCGCTGAACCCCAAGACGACGTCGCCGACCACCTCGCTTCCTCCATCCCCATCGTCGATTTCTCTCTCCTTAATTCCCACGATCCTCAGCTTCACGCCGACGCCGTATTTCGGCTAGGCAAGGCCTGCGCTGAGTGGGGCTTTTTCATGGTAAACCTGTAAATTTTTCTCTGCTTCCTGTCCTGCAATCACTTCCTGTTTGGGGCTAACGATGTGTACATATTGTGGCAGCTCACGAATCATGGGATCTCGGAGAAGCTGATGGAGGAGGTGACGAGCAAGGCCCACGAATTCCATAACTTTCCGGTAGAGGAAAAGAAGGAATTCGTGGACAAGGGTCCCTTGGCACCCACCCGACACGGCACCAGCTTTTTCCCTGAAGCAGAGAAGGTTCATCACTGGAGGGATTACCTCAAAGTGATCACACTCCCGGAATTCAATTTTTCTCACAAACCTCCTAGTTTCAAGTAAGTTCATCAACTCTCTGTTTCGTCTGATTCTTGGGTTTGCCTCTGTATAATGCATTCTATGTTACAATCTACACAGGGAGGTGGGTTATGATTATAGCAGGAAAATCAGGGCGGTGGCGAGGACTTTGCTGCAAGGGATATCGGAGAGCCTGGGATTAGAGACCCCGGCCATTGTGGAGGCCACTGGTTTTGATTCTGGTTTACAGATTTTCACCGTCAACCTGTACCCTCTTTGCCCTCAGCCAGAGCTTGCCCTGGGTATGCCTCCTCACTCCGATCATGGCCTCCTCACCCTCCTCTGCCAGAACGGAATCGGAGGCGTTCAGATCAAGCACGACTGGGTCAACGTTGATCCTCTTCCCAACTGCCTCATTGTCAACGCTGCAGATCAACTTGAGGTCACTCCCACTCCTCATCTCCTAAATATCTATACGCACGCAACGATCTATATATATATATATATGCGCGTTAAACATTTATTCTCTCAATTATTGGTTAGGCGGTGAGCAACGGAAAGTATAAGAGCATCTTGCACCGGGCGGTATTGAACAACAAAGACACAAGGATAAGTCTAGGGCTGGCGAACGGATCAGAGCTGGAGAAGGAGATAGGGCCGGCGCCGGAGCTGCTGGAGGAAGAGGGGCCATTGTTCAAGAACATAAAGTACAAGGACTACTTCCAGGTTCAGCAGCAGAGCAGTCTGGCCGACAAAAGTGGATTGGACGAAATTCGAGTTAATCATCAAAACTGATACATGCCAATATGCCGTCATCACTACCAATTGATCGTTCGGATAAGCGGATTGGATGCATGTGAGCGGGTTTTAGTACCCTTTGTACGGGCCACTTCTCGTTACTGGTTCAATACTCAATAATGCTTGAGAATAGTCACAACAGATCTTATTATGTGCGTATCTATAAAGGTATTTTTCTTTAGACAAAGTATAAAAAATAAGTTATATTCCTCGTATCCTTAATATAAGACATTTTATAATATAATTTATACTATAAGATGAACTTAAATTTAGGACTGGGAAGGGTACTATGTATGGCTTATATATGAATGGCAGCTTTAATTATCTTGAGTTTTACTAATGAATAAAAAACAAGACCGAATACTAAACAGGTTGAAGTAGTGCTTTAAGGGTCAGTGAATCAAATTAAGTTAAATTCTGGGGTAAAACCAATCATATTAAAATAATTTAATTTAATTGAAATTAACAAGATACAACAACGTAATAATCACTAATAACAAAATACAAAGAAATATAACAATAGTTTAATTGTAACAATAACAAAGTAAAATAACATTAAAAATTTTAATCTTTACAAATTCTCAGTAAATAAAATTAATAATTATTGATATACCATGCATAAAATTTGATATCAGTCGTATTGTGCAAAATCTACATATAAATAGCGTGATTTTGTACAAATTTTACATTACAATATAGATATAAAATTTTATGTATCAGTTGATTAGATTAATCTTCACATCAACTAAACATAATTCTCTTAGCTAGTTTTATATTATTGGTATGTGTTGGTTGGTTTTCACGGTCTGAGCTGTAGTAGTTTCAACTGGATCTGACTTCTATATGGCGATCCCTGAAATCTCTTTCCATTTATAGTCTTCCCATGTACAAGCTACTTAACAGTGGAACTAGTTTTGATAAGTATCCCAATATCATCATATTTGGACTATCTAAATCTGGTTTGGATGCTCCAAATTTAATTTATTTTTTATATTTATATTTATTTTTAAAAATAATTATTTTAATGAGTATAGCATCTAAAATAAAAATAATCTACTAACTATCATTTTTTGAAAAATAATTTTTATTTGACATAAAAATAAAAAAAATTAAATGTGAATTATCCAAATCAAATATGAGTGCGTGAGTCTGTGGTGCTTTCCAGATAAATAATGCTAATGGCTCAAGGTTCAAAACCGAGTGGTTTATATATGAACGAGAAATGTAATGATCCCACAACTTCGAAGCCAAAGAAATACTCCATTTTCATTATATTATTTTTTTTAATTCTATTCCATTCGGCGCTGGTAAAAAACAAGAAAAAAAAATTGTATTCCATTCTGCATGGCCAAATCTATGTGGAAATTCGATCGCCATTTGCCTAAGGCGGAAAGCGCTATGACTCTTCTTCTTCACGATGCCCAACGATCTACTTTGGCCCTTCAGAAACGTGCACGTGTACCAGAGATGACGTGCATCGAACCACGTAATTGAACAGGACAGAATTCATTCCTTCAGTTACACTTCGACCAAAAGAATAAAATATAGAAAGGAATCTTTGCTTATGGAACTCTATTTTGGACTTCAAACAACTTATGATATTTCCTCCAGATTCGTTCTTATCCCCAAGCAAAGTTCCACTCATACATATATTTATATAATTGATCGAAATCATTTCAGACATGTTGGATCATCAAACACAGACTTGCAGAGAAGAGCAGAAATGGTGCCAGAGCGTCAAATTTTCAATATCTCAGGACCTACTTATCTCAAATCCGTTGACTGGTGTGTTCGTGATCTCTCCTAAAATCTCTTGCCGCATGAAAATTATGTACAAGCTAACAGCAACCACATTTAAAGCGTTACTCTATATATATATATATATATATATATATTTATGGGTTTCTCATGCATGCAGGAATAACGCAAACCACAGAAGATGCGTCCTCGCAAGCTTGGTTCAAGGAGTGTACGTTTATGAACACGACCGCCGAATGAAACGGTTCGGACCCAAATCTCTGGCTCTTCCCTGGTGGCGCTTCTTCCACTTTCATCTCATTGAACCTCTCCACGATAGCTCCGATCACTCTGTCGTCGGAGCCGTCCTCCAGCTCCACTCCAAATCCGGCAACGTCGTCGGCAATTCCCCAAAATACGTCATCGCATTCCGAGGAATCATCACCGCCGCTCCGGCCCCACCTCTGTACAATGACTTCCTCTTATGTATCCGATCCTTCTTCGGCACCCTCCACAACAGCACCCGCTTCCACCACGCCGTCAGCAGAGTTCAACACTGGGTTACCATGGCAGGTGGTGCTCCCAACATCTGGCTCACCGGTCACTCCTTAGGCTCAGCCATAGCTTTGCTCGCTGCCAAGAACATGGCCATGTCGGGTTGTCGTCTCCCTACCTACCTTTTCAACCCTCCCTTTCCTTCGGCTACGCTGGAGAGGACTGAAAACCCGAAACTGCGTCAAGGAATTCACATTGCATCTTCTGTGGTGAAAGCGGGAGTCTCTATTTATTTACGGAGCCAACACCAGAAGAAGGAAGATCAATTTTCTGCCCTGTCGGATTGGGTGCCTTGTTTGTTCTTGAATCCAGGTGACCCCACTTGTTCAGGTTATATAGAATATTTTGAGCAGAGGAAGAAGATGAAGGAGCTCGGGGCTGCAGAATTGGAGGATGTGGCCACAAAGCATACTCTTAAGAGCTTGATCATGTCTAATGTGTTTGACATAAATTCGGAGCCCCGCCATTTGCTTCCTTCTGCTGAGTTAATCATCAACCGGGCTCAGTCGCCGTGCTTCAAAGCGGCTCATGGGATTACACAGTGGTGGGACCCTAGTCTGCGTTCTCACCCTGTTGTGTATCGTTACAAGTAGTAATAGCTTGACAAGGTTTTTACCTAAAAATGAGAAAAGAAAGAGCCGATGAATAGTCGCCTCACATCTGATAATTAAGATCTCACGCAAACTAAAAGTGAGGCTTGCTTTTTCATCCCAATATGTTTCTCTCCTTATTTCACTTAACATATGCTTTAAGGATAGCATATACTCCTCCTCCATAATATATAATCAGAATTGATGTTAGTCTTGCATGCAAGACCTATTTTACAAGTTTATCAATTTTTTTTGCAAATTAACCCCACCAATAATAATTAAGTAGGACAGGGAAGGAGAAAATTAAAGAAGCTGCTTAGAGTGTTTTAAAACAAAAAACATATCATATTAACTAATTTAACTAATATTCTTAATCTACTCAAATTAGTTAATTAGGTCTTACATTAAGGACTAAAGGAGTAATAATATAAGGGTAATAATCAATAAGATAGTAGTATCTCCTGTCTTTAATATAAGATCCAATTTACTAATTGGAGAGATTAAGAAAGTTACTAAATTACTTTAAAGTACTTATATTTATTATTTTTCTTCAAACTGATTTGACTCAAATAAATAACCTGATGATATACATAAATATTTTCAAAAAAATTGTGTAATATACGATGTAATTAAATAATTTAGTAGTTGTACAAATCAAGAAGTAACTGAAGAGAAAGATGGAATTACGTACAAGACTTGGTGTTTTTGGTAATCATCGGACTACATGTGATATGTTGTTATTGCTATTAATCTAGAAGACTCTGCTATTTAGCTGTACTTGATATTGCTATTAATCACGTGTACGTGCGACGGTGCGATAATCTTAGATTCTTGTCTTAATATATTTAATTTATAATTCATGCACATGTGCAGAGTACTCTTTAAATTAACCCCAAACGTTCCTTCCATCCACTACTTTACGGGTCGTTAATTAAGTTGATGATAGTAAAGGTATTGGATTGGACCTAATACCCTTTAAATTGTTCTATTCCCTCGAATATATGCTTCAACTGTCAAGTTATTCTATAACGATTCCCCTGTAAGTGGGGGTTAAAGGCAAAAATAAAATTTGACAAAAAAAAAAGGAATGCCGAGTTAATTCTATTTACTATTATTCAATGTAATGATTGATTAATGATTAATGGTGCAGAATAATATATTCATGGACCCAATTATACTCTGTTACGTTCCTGTCTTGACAGAACCCAGTGGGTCACAACACGGAGACACAGTTATTCCACTGTTTCTGGGCCCAGGACTCATCAACAAGGCCCAGCCCACCCATCTACGTACTTTATTTTAGATTAAACATTTTCCCACATATTTTATGGATTAGTATAAACTTGATAACATAATATTAATTAATGGAAAATAGTAGATTTAATATCATTGTATTGATGATTGATTTGAACACTGATGTATTGATAGCCCTTTCAACCACCTCTTGTTTGTTGTAAAAGGCATCTATTAGGGGTGCACATGGGCAAGGCTGGGCAGGGCAGGACCCCTGCCCGATGCCCGACTCGAAATATGAACGGGCTGCAAAATGCAGCCCGCTGCCCGACCCTGCCCATAGAAGCCCTAACCATTTTGGGCTGGGCATGGGCGGGCTGGGCAGGGCGGGCTTCGTTGCCCAAATAGTGATGACCTGCCGATATCACATGTAAAAAAACTTTCGTCCATAACTGAAAATTACATTTCATAGGATGTACTCAATAAAGCTCAAGAAGAACAAGTTAAAAGCAAGATACTATTGCTTTTTTTAGAAAAATTAGACCCCTAAGATGGAAAACTAACAGACATGTAACAATAATAAATTAAATTGCAAAGAGGAGGGAATAACTTTTTTTTGGGTAAAGAAATGTAATATATTAATATTATTTTATAAATTATAATATATATAAATATAATCTGGGCAGGGCCAAATGGGCAGGGCAGCATGTCCTGCCCGATGCCCAGCCCTGCCCATGAAATGCCCAGCCCAAAGATGCCCATTCTTTTTCGGGCTCCTTTTTTTTGGGCTGGGCAGGGCAATTTTTCTTCGGGCTTGGACGGGCTTAGCGGGCATTTGGGCTTCATGCACACCCCTAGCATCTATGGCCCTAGCTGGGCAAGCGTGACCAATACCATGTTGAGTGGCCCCAATTCTCTCTTCCTCCCTGACTTGACAGTATATGAAGTTTATTATTCTTTTTAATTCTAAATATAGAAGTTTGATAATTAAAGAAATTAACTAAGTTATCATCTCTCAAAAAAACATGTGTTG